ATCAAGGATTGTTTTATCTTTTTTTTTTGTTTTTTTATTTTTTCAATTTTTTTTCCACAAATATTCGCAAAATTAAACGTATATGTAATGTTTTCTTTGTTTTGTTTCTCATTTCTCAACCATTCAATCATAATGTGCGACAGCGAAGCGTGGCAGCTAGTATACTATTAAAATTATTATATTTAAATGTATATATTAAATCTGCACACGTGGTTTTTGTATATTGATTCTATACATAGATCATATAATGCCGTAGTGCCGCAAACAAATGTCTATTGAACTAGGAAAAATACACAGACTACAATCCATCGAACGAAGCTGTAACTGATGCAAATACTGCATAATAATTCTTCGGTAAATTTGAGACATGGCATCACAGTCTCAAATGACCAGTAATTTAACCTGTATTTCACTAAGTTGCTTTGAATACCGGAATATTTTGAAGCTGCTATCTCCCCAGGCAGGAATAAATAATTCAACGGTTGCAGATATTTCACAATTTTGCAAAAATGTTCCTTTAACTTATAATATTTAGTTTTACAAAACTGGTTAGATTTAGTTCCTGTTTTATTCAGGGCCTATAGGGATATGTCATACATTTTTGAGTCTATTTCATTATTATTTTCTTAAATCTTTTTACCCAAGTGGTACTTAAAGCTCTGTTTGTTTCATGGATCCTGTTGTGTATGATGGTACCCGCAACAATTATTACTGGAAATGCATTACGCCCTTTGTTACCAGCAGGTAATAACGTAGTAATTTACTTTTGAATGAAAAACTTAAAATGAATACTGGTTTCTCCCGTCACTACAAACAATAAGCTCACGACTATTCGATATTAAAAAAAAAGAAGAGAGACGGAAAATACAGTTTTGCCAAAATTAAGTTTTAATAATTATCTTATTCCGACATTTTTAAATTAATTAAAAATTAATTTGTAAATTTTAAATAAATGATATAAACTAGTACTATCTACCATGCGCTAATTTAAATCTTTATTTAGCGCCTGTGCATTTGAACCCCACGGCCCAAGAGTCTACTCCAAAGGGAACAAAAGCGAAGTTGGAGGTAAGACTCTTATATTTGAGCCGTTTATTATTTTCCGCCTGCTCTGCGGCCGTCCCAGCATTTTTGGTGAGGTAAGACACACAACAACAATAAAACAATCGTTTATTAACAAATGCTACTTGTGTGTAAACACGTAGCATTTGGTAAATAACGTAAAATGTTGTAATATTCCTATATATTCCTTACATTTGTCCAAATTACAATTAGTTCCATACAATGCACTTTCCTTTTAATTTATATTGCGGACAGTCGAGGAGCACTTAACTAAATTACTTACGGAAACAACGTTCAATAACTTGGGTCGGGGATCGCTCAGATTTTACAGTTAGTATCCATTATACTAATTATTCAATGCTTTGTATTGTTATACTACTAATATTATTAATAATAGGCTTATTAATGTGCTTCAAGTATCGTAATCTTCTGTAAATCATAGTAATTTTGTGATGAAAAAGTTTATGTCAAAAATATTAATAAGAGTGATTTTTTATGAACCAATCAGCTGAGCGCTTTTGATAATTATTCTGATGAAAAATTAACGACTGGTAGCAATTACTATTGATATCTCAGGTTTTAATTCCCGGGATCTTTTAGGGATTTTTGTGCTCGGAATATGTATTTTTAAAAGCGAAGTACAACATATTGCATTAATGATTTAAAGCATTCAAGACTTTGAATTTTATTTTTAGGTTTTTTGGATTTATGTCTATAATTAAGTTTATACACATGTAAAGCTTTTAGTAATACAAAAGGTGAGTAAACTTGTTGAGATCTTTCTATGACACTGACTTTTTCAAGGTCATATTAATAAAGGAGCCACTTAACATACTCAATGTGCAAATAGAAACATTTTTAAAATTACATTATTATTCGAGCTTTCCAACATCACTGTTGTATTATTCACGACGTACTAAAAAGCCCAAAATATAAACAACTTTTTATTTTCAATGCTCAAATACGAAATCCCACTCGTGAATAATATAAAAGTCTATACGCTTACAGAATGGCGTTATAAAGCAGCTAATAAACAAGCGGGAATGTTTGTAAATAAAATGGCATTCCTCGATGGAAATGGGTGAAATTTATCGCTGCCCTTGCGATAGGTACAATTCAAGACTGATTTACGTAGATACAACGTGAAAAGGCAGATACAGATATTTTTTTTATTTTTAGCCTTAAATTATGTTCTGATACACTAATATCTAATTATCCTATGTGTTAGTACGGTTTTTACAGTTAGTATGTATCAGAAACCCTTTCCGGTAAAGGCCTCCTTCTCTATCTTCTTTCTCTATCCCGAGCTATTTGTATATCCATTGAGGACCCGCGATTTTTTTGTTAACATCATCCCATCGAGTGTAAGTTCTGCCTCTGTATCGTTTGCCTGGTGGGCCTTTCAATGGTTTTGTCCACCTGTGATCTGTGAGGCGCGCTACATGACCCGCCCACTTCCACTTCACATTTTTTGCGTGGCTTAGAGTATCAATTGCTTTCTCTTTGTCTCTGTCTTGTTATTTCTTTTACATCTTGCGTCCATACTATAAGTGTCTTAATTTGGCAGTAGATATAAAACTGTGCATAGAGTTTTTTTAACCTCACCTCTAGTGTAGTGTACTATTGTTTTTTGCATTGCGCATACCCTACCACTGTGCGACTACTTAGTGCGGGAGGGTTATGTGGGACTGGCGATTGTGCATACCCACTAAAACCCCAAGGTGCCACCAACAATCGCCGTAGGCGAGATGCGGTAACAGTAGAGCCTTATCCGCTTAGACAAAAGTCAAAATCATTTTTTATTCATATAGGTAACACACATTTTATTTAATTTACTGACAGTGAAGAGTACCAAATACCAATATTGGACTGAAGTACCTATGTAGTTATCGGATAATGTACCTTTCTTAATGTGAAGGGATTTTGAATAGAAATTAGTTTTTGAGTTTATTCATTAAACAACCAATATTATTTCTTTATAACACTAGTATAGAATGCCGAAAATTATTATAGATAATAAGTCAGACAATTTTTTTACAAAAATAATTTTGAGATTTCTGCTTAAAGTATATGGTCGAATAAAATAAATTTAGTATTACTACTTATATTGTATTGAGACACAATTAAATAGGTATTTTAAACTTCTTTATAGCTAAGTTACCAAAATCTTGATTTTACAACAATTTATTTGAAACTTATAAAACTGTTTTGATATTTATTCAAATTATAAATAGACAATAGTATAACTAATAAATTTAATAAAATAAATTAATAACCAAACCAAAATACCTTTACAAAAACCTAAAACTATGAATCTTTATCACAAAGATTTTGACCTCTTTTTCGTATAGTGTAAAAATTGTCCCTTCTTTTCCAATTTATCCTACCTCCATCTCTATATTGGCAAGTGCGTAGCTCTTCGATCATTCTGATTAAAACAACCGGTTATCGGCAGATGCGTCACATTTACGTTTATTTTTACTTTTATTGCCTCTCAATGTTTATTAGATCTTTTATTCGGGTTTTGAGAAAAATATTCTGTTTAGCCTGTTTTATTAAGCTTCGTGTTTTACGTTTTATTACGGTAATATTTCTACGTGATAATATAATAACAATAAGTTATTTGTTTAAGATTATATTAATATGTAGTATTAGTCAGTAACCATTCCGTCTTAGTTGCTATGGTAGTATTAGTGAGTAATAATTAATATTGGTGAACATTGTAATAAATATTAATTAGATACCGTAATAATATATTTTAATAATGCGATGATGTAGTGATAAAATAACATAAGAATTTACTATAATGAATCATAATGTAATTGTAACTTCTATATAAAATTCAACCTTTTAAGACAAATTTGTACACCATTATGTGTGTCAAAATATGCGAACTTTAGATTGTTTCACCATAAAATTTTTATTCAAAATAAATTACTATTATAAACAAAACAAAAGCTCCTATGGGGCATGGACAGTATACTAACGGTTTAAAATATGTGTTCTCTGTGATCTACACATTTAGAAGACCATTAGTGCTATGCCTAACACGATGCATCTTTATGAAATATATAATAAAATATGTATTTTTTTATTGACTTGAAATAAAATTGATGTTTTAAGAGTTAGTTTTTTTATTTGTCTAGTTTATGATGAAAATAATGCTAATAATATATGCTAAAAATTACTTTTATAATTGAGATAGAAACATAAAATGTATGTTTAAATAATACTTGAAACATACATTATATATTGTAACATTCATTATGTATTGTTTATATTGAGTAGTATACTTTTCGATATTTTCTTTAATTTTCTGACATTTTTATTATATTTTATGTATGCTCTTAAACATCACACATGTTAAAATGAATTAAAAAGCATATCTATTATCTATCCTTTATCAACATAAAAAATGCTATTATCTGTACCTTATTAAAAAGTATAAACAAAAGCTTATCATAAAAATGTTAACATGAAACTTTGAAGTTTATTTTCAGAAACCCACGACAGGGTTTGCCTGTAAACTAATTTCCTAACTAAACTTTGCTTAGATTATTACAACCACTTTGCATGCACTTTCAGGTGAGATTACTGAAACTTATACAGGTTTAATTTACAAGAGAAGACGTTTATAATGCATTTGCATTTTTTTATTTTTATTTACATGAAACACTATATTAATATTAATTATTGTTTTTATTTTTACGCTTTTTGTGTCGTGGTATATACTATATATTATTGTATCGGCGTGTATATTTCATATTTATTTAATTTAACCTAACAGCTTTAATCATGGATTGATATATGATAGATATGAATTAATCTTAAAAATGAATAGCCAGAAACTTAATCGAATATCTGGCTATGAGCGTAAACCAAGAATCTGTGGCGCCGTACTTAGTAAATTTCTAGAAAAACAGTTGAAAATCACTTACCATCTAAATAAACAACTGACGAGAGCGCCTTATCGTTTTCCACAACAGGCCTGACAGTTTCGTACGACATTGTCGTCAACAGATTATCCCTCAAATCCAGCACGATGAGACTACTTATATCCTCTAGTATATCGTCGTAAAACGATGTCAACTTGTTACCCGACAACGTCAACTTTCTTAACTGAATCAGTCCACCGAACGCGCGTTCCGATATGTACTCAATCGCATTGTTGTCCAACATCAATTCTTTTAATCCCCATAATTCGCTGAAAGCCAGGTTCCCGACCATTGTCAGTTTATTGTTCTTCAAATTCAATCTGGATAGATTCTCTAGCCCTTCCAACATTTCTTTAGTCAGAACCGAGATATAATTCATATCCAATCTTAATTCTATCAGGTTGTTCAAGTGTTTGAAACAACCTTCGTGCAACAAACTTAGGTTATTGTTCGTCAAGTGCAATACATGTAAGTTGGGTAGGTTAAAGAATACATCCCTCTTAAGTTCAGATATCATATTGTCTTCTAAACTTAGATTCGAAAGCATCATAAGTTGGGAGAACGAGTGTTTATCCAATTTAGATATTTTATTTGACTTCAGTACTATCTGTCGAACTGTTGAAGAGTTCGTGAATGCGTAGGGCGGGAGTCGTTTAATAGTTCCAAATTGAATGGAGAGAAACTTTAATTTGTCTAGTCTAACTATGGCCTTCGCTGGGATGAACGTCAATGCGTCATCGATTCGTACATTAAAAATGAGATGTTCTATTTCTGACTGAGAGGAAAAACTGAGCCAAATCGGATCATCTTCAGTGAGTCCGCCGCTAAATATCCAGCAGTCAGCTCTAGTCGCCAATTTTGATTTGTTACTGTCACAGTAGCAATGCACTTTTGAGCGACGATCGCTAATATCGCACACGTTAATGAAGATTGGCATTTGGTAATAGCGTCTGTCTATTTTAGGTTTCGTGTCGTTTTTGCTCTCTGTGACTAACGGGGTCACTGTTAAAAGTGAGGCAACGATGATTATGTACTTCGTTATCTGCTCCATTATATTCCTGTACCTGAAACAAATAAATATGATTTTATAGAAAAAGCCCTTTGAAATAGTGCTATTTAAATACGCGAAATAAAAGTACAAATACAAGTTAAGTACATTCATTTATTACTCATTTTAAACTAAACCTTTGTTGCCTTGTGCATCAGTTAAGATATAGATTTTTAGAAGTTAAAATTATTATAAATAGATAGATATATCATATTTATTTACATATCATAGAATGAAGTTGAATGCCAGGTGTTTGTCTGAATAAACGCGATAAAAACAAAAAATACTACTAAACAGTGTTACGCTTTTCACAAATAGAAAGCGTGGTTTAGATTCATTATAGTTAGATGTAAATGCCTGAAATATAACAATTAAGTTTAGTTGTAGCAAAAAATATTGTCCAACACGAAATCCATATTAAACACATAACAACAAAATATGTAAAACGTTTCCTTGTACTTATAATATTGAATAAGACCAAGAATAAGTGCTCCCTTTCCTTGGCGAAATTATACTCTCATGAGCTTAAGTGACTTTAGGGAAAATTTGAAATAATATAAGTAAAATACATATACTCTTTTTTAAACAGAAAAAACGTAATTATGTTGTTTTGTATCTAAGCCTAGTCATCAACCAGGGGTTGTGAGTTTGAAGCCCGAGATAATCAAGTTATGAACACTCCTGTGTGCTTTCAGTGTGAAGGTATTTACTGTTATTTGGATATATTTTTGTATATGGTTGAGTGATGAAGAGAACCTTCCGACTTAGATAGCATTACACAAAGAAGGTAACAAAATCTATGATATTCTAAGATTGTATCTATATGACATATCAACGTTTTAGAATATACCAGTTATTGAAACTAGCAATACGCATCCGATGCTCTTAGAAGTGACGGGATAGAAGCATTAATTGTCACTTCGATATCGCTAACAATAGAGTCAATGGTCTTTGTTAATTCAAGTTATCTAAAATTTATATTGTCTATATATAATAGGGACGCTAGCTAAGCACGTCATTCGTTCAATACATTTATACTCTAAGATCGTTATAAGTAAACTATAATATATGTCTCTTTTCATCACAGCGTATACACAATTAGATAGAAAAAGTCAAAATCATTTATTCATATAGGTAACACAATGTACACTTATGAACGTCAAAAAAGAAACATTAAATGCTTGTAATTTTACATTGACTGTCAGTTCTCAAATCAAGGGCGTAGAACGGAAGAGAAGAACTGGCAATAAACTCTGCGCCACTCTTTTTAATCGCCACGTTAAAGAAAAATGATTCTCAAATAAGTAATTTGTATTCATGTCAGTTTAAAAGTTATAGAACTATTTAACCAAAACACGGAATATTTTCCATATTAATTTCCGTTTGGATTTTCTTTCATAAATAATGTTGCGTGTACCAAACACGTATTGCGACGGTCACAGGTGCGAAATATAATTAGATATTAGTTAAGGTCGTATGTAATAATTTATGAGACTCATTAATATTCATTAAGACGCATTGCCGATGAAAATGATTTTGCTATTTGTTAATTAGTAGCCTGTTAGCTAAATATACTCAACATTCGCTATATTTTACGGGACGTGATTAAGAGCCTCCTTCTAGGCGTTCCTGGAGTTATAAATGTTTAGGATTAAAGAAGATTATTCTCATACTGTACAGTACTGTGGTGAAAACCTTCAAGACCAAGGTTAAACCTCTTAGTGGTTTTTTGGTGCTTTGAACTCTTACTTTATCATTATAAATAAAGCAAAGCAAAAAAAATATGAAAAAACCCGAGGGAGGTATATGCCGTTTTCGCGTAAAAACTCAAAAAGCGGAAAATAATTTCCCCATTACATAGCTATATTACCCCCGAGTAACGAGTAATCTTATATACAAAATTCTCTTGTCACAATGTTCGTTCCCATACTCCTCCGAAACGGCTCGACCGATTCTTATGAAATTTTTTATGCATATTCAGAAAGTCTGAGAATCGGACAACATTTTTCATCCCCCTAAATGTTAAGGGTGGTCCCAACCCAAAATTTTTATTTTTTAGACAAAACTTTTTGTTTTTATTTTTATACGATACATACAAAAATACATACAATCCTTAATTGTCACCCCTATAAGATCAACCCCTATTTCTTATTATAGAAGATAGTTATTTTTATTGAACTTAAGAAATGTTTCCTAGAAATAATATACATGGCAAAACGACGTTTGCCGGATCAGCTAGTAAGCAATATTTATTTCGAAAATATTTTAAAAAATCCAACCGTGGAATGCCGTACAGATTGTTATGAAACACTTAGTAATTTTTAATTAAAATGTTGGTATAAAGTTAGTTATTTATAATACTGTCATATTTCAATGTTTGTATTATTAAGTTACAATAATAGGTGGAGCACTGAGGACGGCCCACAACCATCCATCTCAATTCTAAGGTATTCCAGTTTCCTCACATTGTCTTAAAACTCAAATCTTTATTGCATTCCTTATGTTTATATTTTACACGTGACACGTTATAATTTATTACAATAAGGACCTTGGTTAGGCACAGCAATGTTGTGAGAGGGCATGCTTTATTATAGTTAATTATATTCTTATACATTTTTATTCTTATTAGATACATTATTTATTTGGTATCTTTGCTTTGGCTTCACGTTGCGTAAAGGAGAATGTACTTAACATTATTAACAAACTTAACTTTTATAAAGAAATTAATGTCTATCAAACAGATACTTTGTAACAGTGTAATAACATTTCTTATTTAATTATTCCTTTAAAAATTTGGTAAACCTCATGTTATTTGTTTTGTCTTACATACGAGAAAGTAATAATTTCACAAAGAAAGAAGAAAAAACCAAGTTAATAAGACCTTTTATGAAATATCCGCATATTTGTTATATATTTCGTGACAAAATACGATATTTCACTGTCGGCTTTACGGATTTTATAAAAGTTGGAAGTTCACGACCGGATTAAAAGTTCAGTAGGATTTGCATTGTTAAAACTTAATTTTTAGCGAGAAAAATGTTCATTAGTGTCTACAGCGACGCTTAAAGCCATAAATGCTTATTTTTTTTAAGTAGACATTAAAGTAACTTTTTTTTGGCCCTCTCCGCCTCTTTCTTATGACGCATGACGGCTTCGCAGAATCTCTAGAGGATTTCGTGTGCCGTCACTGTCCGTGCTTGTAACTGCAACTCTCACAATGTTATTGAGAGTAGCTTCCTCGCCGTGTAGCACAAGATAAAGATACTCCACGTCAATCATGTGTTTGAATTGTACCGCGCACCACCACAATGTGGAACCAGCTGCCCACTTAAGTATTTAGGAAACAATTTGACTTAGCGTCCTTCAAGAAAAGAGCGTACCAATTCATAAAAGGCCGGTAACGCACTCGCGAGAGGGCTGGCATTGAGTGTCCATGAGCGTGTATCACTTAACATCAGATGAGCCTCCTACCCGTTTGAAATGTTCTATGAAACAAAAAACAAATTCAGTTATTTATAGTTTATATTAAGGGTTTCAATATACAAGGTACTAACCGTTTCAACAACTTGATTGAAAAATGCGATAAAGTTTAAAAAATACGAAAATGCCAATTATCTTTAGTACTAAAAATAACGAAAGCTTCTCAGTTCTCGGCAGAAAGGACTTTCTTAGAAGATTTATTTCCGACAAAGCGAGCGCCGAGCCATTAAAAAGCAAAGCAATATTTCTTGTGTTGCGTTTAAGCTTCTCTCGACATTCGTCCGTTTATGTTTTCAGACTGGTTTCACTAGGAAAATTATTTTGAATATTAAATAATATTATGTGTTAATTAAAATGCTTTCTGCTAAATTTCTTTATTCATCTACTTTCTATTCTCGACTACGTTAATGTGCGTTCTCCGAATTTGACTGAAATGCAGCTAGATACGTTGGAGCGTTTGTATGCTTCAGATTCATATTTGGACTTCGTAAATTTGACCATATTTCGGAGTTTTGAAGAAAGCTCAATTGGCTACCCATTCGATTGCGGCAATTTTATTCTCTTTAATCCTAAAAGTCCTAGTTACTTAAAGCAAGATTTTATGTTCCTTTCTGACGGTTGTTTTAATTTCCGTTCTCTTGACAATCTAATTCTTGAAACATAAATCTGAATTCTGTCAATCCTCCTTTACTGTGCAAGTATCCTGCTTTGGAATTCTTTACTTCTTGATATCAGACGAGCTCATTCTTTAAATTTATTTAAAATCTTATTTTTAGAAACTTACTGCTAGGTTTTAGGAAGAAATTACTAGGAAATTGTGAACGAAAAACAGTAAATTTTCAAAATATAATGAAAAACTTAAATTTAAATTCCAAATAATTTTAATAAATGTTTCGAAATACAAAAATAATAAAATAAAACAAAATTTCGATTTCGAATAGCTCCCCTTAACAATAAAATTTCCCCACAGTGGGGCGTGGGCCCCACGTTGGGAAACACTGCTCTACACGATAGCGCATGGACAATATACACATATTTGTTATTAGCAAATATTGGCTACTGCGTTGTGTTGATTGCTTAGAATATCATATTGTCCAAAATACTGTGCATTACCAGATGTCTCAATGAATAAAAATGGGTCGTCCATAAGATCAGTCTTATAGAATATCTTATGTACTGTAACGATAGTCTGCTCTCATCTCAGCAGGAGTTTCACCGCAGAAAACCATAAGTTTTTAAACCATTACGGTTAAACCATAGGGTTTAAACCATTGCGGTTAAACCATCGCGGTTAAACCATTGCGGTTAAACCATCGCGGTTAAACCATTGAGGTTAAACCATCGCGGTTAAACCATTGCGGTTAAACCATCGCGGTTAAACCATTGCGGTTAAACCATTGCGGTTAAACCATTGCGGTTAAACCATTGCGGTTAAACCATTGCGGTTAAACCATAGCAGTTAAACTATAGCGGTTAAACCATATCGGTTAAACTATATCGGTTAAACCATAGCGGTTAAACCA